GCTGGGTTCTGTAGGCAGCCCCTTGCCACGTCTGCAGCTTCCCTTCTGGAGGATCCCAGCGACTGACTGATGCCTGCCTCTTTCCTTCAAGCTTAGGGAAGGGAGTGAGTGGCAGAGGCTTGCTAGTTGTACTAGGTGCTGGGCATCTTACTACCTGTTTCCCCTGCAAGTCTGCCCAAGCCTTTGAAACCTGTTCTTCCACCAAACTCTTAATTCCTTCTTTAAAAATCAGCTTATCTCTTTCCTTCCAAGATCTGGACTTTAAGTACATTATGCATGGGGCAGGAAAGCTTCATTCAGTGTCATGATGACCCATCAGAGTAATTTGATAGCACATTCTGGAGAACTCGCTTTTCATAATTATCATGGTAGGTGCAGAGACAATAGGTCACCTTCAGCCCTCAGTGTGTCTGCACCAGCAGATCTTAGAAACTGAGTTCAACCAAACACTGCAGTGTCAAAACAGAAGTATCCTAGAGTTTGTTACTAACAATGAAGAACTGAGATTCTACATGAAGAGAAATTAACGTGAAGGGATGACTTGCTGTGGTCGTGTCATTTGCAGTCATGGACATTCCTCTGTATTTCCTTGAGACACATGGAGCTCCAGCAACTGCACTAGAAATTTCCCACAGTGCTGTTGACTCCTTGACTATGTATAGTCTGTAGACATCCCTGACAATACGCTCCAGTTGTTCAATGTAGTGACAGAAAAAAAAGATGTGAAATTACTGATTGTTAGGTCACATAGCAATCCATTAAAGGAACTCCTTTGATTCATGAAATTAATTACTTGTTATCCAATTTTTCTCATCAGTCTCCATAGTAGTAATATTTTATTGCTATTGTGTTATTCATCTTATTTCACTCATGATATTTCTCTCTCTCTCTCTCTCTCTCTCTCTCTCTCTCTCTCTTTGGTTTTTTTTTCAAGGCAGGGTTTCTCTGTGGCATTGGAGGCTGTCCTGGAACTAGCTCTTGCAGACCAGGCTGGTCTCGAACTCACAGAGATCCATCTGTCTCTGCCTCCTGAGTGCTGAGATTAAAGGTGTGCGCCACCAACGCCTGGCGATATTTCTCTTTTTTCCAACTACAAGTTGGATAATAGAAAAAGAGGCATGCCTTGGGCTGGCTGCATTCCATATTTTCACCAGGGAACCCTTCTTGGATCTCTATGGGATGTGAACCCACTTCCTGATAAAGCTAGATTTCAAATAATGAATAGAAAACAAACAAACAAACAAATAAAAAACCCAACAAACTTCAACTCTCTCAACTTAACTAAATTGCTAAAGCTTGAGGAAACTGAGATGAAGGAAGCACAGTCCTGCCCTCCAGGAATCTGAGGCCTAGTAGACAGAGATGAATCCCAACAGTGATAGAACTGTGATACAAAGTCATTAACACTATAACAGAAACATACTTAAAACTTAATGGGAAATACTGGCAGTGGGGGGGGGCAATTGTTTCTTTGAAAGGTACAAGGACTTTTGGAAAAAAAATTATTACAAAGGTGACCATTAAGCTTGACCCTGAAGGGTGTCTAGGTGTTCAGCACTGAATGTGGTAGAGAAAGATGATGGACAAAGAACCCAGTAAGGGTCCTTCGTGTTTCTGACAGTCTTGTTACATGTCTACAACTGCTTCAGGTCCCCAGTTGTTTTTACATTATTGCTTTTCCTAAAGCCTGTCTGTAATTTTCACCGAGTCATCCTGGGGCCAACGGGGTTGAAGTGTAATTGGAAGAAAGGTGTTAGAAGAAAGGACAGCTGACTGACCTAGAGGAAAATCCAAAGAGTGACAGGTCTCAGCAGGACTGGGCAGAAACCACTTGAGAAAGCTAGCGAAGACTCGAAGTCTGAAATTGGATTTGTGCACGCTGAGATATGTATCTCAATGGCCTTGAACCTGACTTACACATAACCTTGGCGATGATGATCTATGAGAGAGTCCTGTGTCCATGTGGAGTTTGGGTTTTGAAAATATTAGAGAAGTCTTAGAGAAGGAGAATTTATCGCAGGGATTTATCGATACGGTTACTCACAGGTCTACTGTATTATATCAGACCAGGCAGAGGAAAGAGGATTTAGAAGACTGTCTAAGATGTCACAAAGATGGATAGAGTTTACTTGATGGAGGAAAGCAGAACAGTTACATCCAATTTCAGGTTTTTAAATGTGAGTTCTGTAATTTCTTATCTTTGACCCCAGGCAGAAGGAAATGCTTTTTTGCTGAGACCTGAAGGCCTAACTCAACACTGTCTTATGTCATCCTCTTTTAAACCAGAGACCCAAAGCTGTCTTTCTCTCCTTTTTTTCTTCAACAGGTCAATGGAGATGCTCTCAGCTGCAGATAAAGAAATACGTGAATCTGGCAAAGGTGAAACAAAATAAGAGGTAGAAAACACAAGTTTCCCTTTATTAAGAACCAGAGCTTTATTAAGAACCAGAGATCAACTTGGTTTCAAAGTTCAACAGAGGTAGCAACAGAAAAGATGTGACTTCACAATGAATGTGTGTACTTTATGTGGGAAAAAACTCAAAACACCTCTGAAAGACATAAAAGTATAAATGGACACATGGAAAGATGTCCTTTCCTGTGGATAAGAAGAGTCAAAATCACAAGGCTTTTTCTGATAATAAGGGTTACATAGAAGAATTTTAAAAAAGCAAAAAAAAAAACCAAAAAAAACAAACCATATAAATAACATTAGAGAGTGGCCTAGTAGTTGAAACAAGCCAATTGCAAACCATCTTGACTATAATGTAAAGCTTTTATAATAAAGATAGTATCAGAAAGACACAGAGAATAGACAGACAATTAGAATCAAACAGAAGGCCCCGTTACAGACCTAATTGTTTGTGGGGAGTTAGTAAGGTGCCCTCTCCAAGGTGATCATCAGTTGGGACAAAAATGAACTAGCTTTCTTTCAGTCTTATTCACTGCTATTGTGTATATGTGTGAACGGCATGTGTGTCGGTATCCAGAAGCATCTGGAAATCAGAGAGTAACTTTCCAGAGGTGGGTCTCGGCTTCCATCATGGATTCTGAGCATTGAAGTCAGATTTCCATGGCCTCAAACTCACTATTTTCTTCTCAAGTGTTGATATTATAGTTGAAACATGAATTTCTGTACAAACAGATATCCATATGTGAAGATAAACAGATAAACACTAGATGAGTTGGAGAGTGAAACCTCCTGCTGTTAGCCAAAAATGTATGTGGTATTCTCTATAACATGGCTATAAGGAGACACTTCCTAAATAAAACTCAAAATCTGGATACAACAAAAAGACAGATCACTGAACTGAAAAAATGGAATTTATTTACATAGAAAGTAAACAATAACAACAAAAGCCATAGCAAAGTCATGGGCAACTGGCCACCAGGAAAAAAAACGGGGAAAACCTTTATAACATATGTCACTTTGCTATATCCATGAGGACCAAGAGTCATGTATAAGAGCTTGTGGGAGGCAAAGCTGCTTCACTTTTGTTCTAGCTTATCACCCTGCCTTCTTTCTGGAGAGATCGTTGTAATTAGCTTGCTGTTGGGTTGGTGTGATTTAACCTTTCTCGGTCACATGCTTGTTATTTCTCAACTATCTTGGTCTTTCACTCCCCAGCTGGCCTTGATTTATATGTGTTTTCCCAGTTCTCATTCTGAGCCGGGTTGTGCACCTGGTGTTTTCCCGGGGCCAGCAGCAAGGCTGGCTTTCTGGGCTCTCATTTCACTGAGGGTTCTCAGTGAGGCCTGGCCCAGTGTGGGCGGTCAGGGTCTAAGGGAAGAAGGTGGACCACGGGGAGCATTTAGCAAAAATGAATACACCCAGGATACCCTGAATATATTAGTCCTGGGAATCCAGGTGTTACAGATACACAGGCCCCTTAATGGTATCTCAACAAGAATGAATAGGTTTTCAAAGCAGGGGGCAATATAAATATATTTTCTGTTATAGACAGCTAAACCAAATTATTGTTATTTTTTTCCATCTTGGTTGTTTGAGGAATCACACGTCAGTGGACACAGGGTAGATTTCATTGTCTTCAGAGTCATTCAAGTGAATGGAGAGCAGGAAAATAATGATGGCTTGGAGGAAGGAGAGGTACTAGGAAATGAGGGAGGTGGACTTGAAACCACCCCCAGCTGCTCACCACCCTGATCCCACCCCACTGTCAATGCAAAGCGTTCCTCCCAGAGACGGCTAGTACTTCCTGGGAGTGAATCTTACAGATCTCGGGGCTGTATTCTGAACTACATTCACTTGCAGTAGACTTGTGAGTTGAAAGCATTCTGTGGCAGAGGGAGTCCTGCTTTTTGAAAGCAGTTACCCATCGTTTACTGTATTTGATCTCCACAGGGCCTTGGGAAGCAGGTGATGCCCAATATCATTGTCCCCATTTTGCAGATAAAGGCCGAATTGAGGAAGGTGGGGGAGGCAGCCCAGTGGAAGGCTGTGGGTAAGAAGCCAGGATGTTAACTGGGTTAGATATCCTCAGTAAGTCAGTGCTGTAAAGTTTCTGAGTCTCCATCCAGCTTCGGTTAAGTGAGAGAGCTGCAGAAGCCGGTCCTTAAGGGCCCTCCAGTGTTGCTATTGTAGGATTTTAGCACTGGCCGACATCACAGGGAATTAGTCAGTGAGTGAGAAACCCTGCCCTGCCAAATCCCACCCCTTCCTCCACCCCACACAGTACAGAACCAAGGGCTCACTTGGGATGGCTTGGGAATCCCTTCTGTAGACACAGATGGAAGAAGCCAGCATTCCTGTTTGATTGGAGAACATTTTCAAAGTTCGTTTTATGTCTTGTAAATTTCAATTCCTCCTGTGTGTTTCCTCATTAAGATTTCCCAACTTTATTCAAGTATGATTTACAGATCCCAAATTTCACTCGTTCTAATCCCACGATTTACTACTTTTAGTAAATCTATAGAATTGCAGCCATCAGCACACAATAGATTTAGAACTTTTTCTTCTCAAAGTTCCTTTAGGCCGAGTTGTGGCTCAGTTGGGTGGAGAGCTTGCCCGCAAGCAGGGAGCTCCAGCTTCGACATCTAGTACCGCATCAGTGGGGTGTGGCGGAACGTGCCTGCAGGCCCAACACAGAGTAAGTGGCGACTGTAATTCTCTCCTTCCTTGTATAACTCCTGGCAGTGTCTGGAACAGAGCAAGCAGCATCTTAAAAACACCAGCTCAAGTCAGGTGTACAGAGGTGGATCTGTGGAGTGGGAAGCCAGCACAGTCTACACAGGGAGTTCCAGGACAGCCAGAGTTACAAGGCGAGGCTCTGACTAAAAATCATTTAAAAACAAAACAAAAAGACAACTCACATTACGAAAACATGTAGGAGGCTTCAGAACTTTGTGAAGACTTATTCAGGGTAGGCAAAGAATGATAACAAAGGGGTGTGGCTACCGTGTGGGCACGGCAAAGTACGGCCGCTGGAATGTCTCTGCTAGTGTCTGCCAAATCATTTCCGACTGCAAAACTCAGCTTCTGCTTCTGGCTCTTGAGTGAAGGGGCTGATGAAGGCAAGGACGGCGTGTACCTGAAATGGTCCCCTTCTCCACCTTGTGCTGACTTCTGCAGGCTTCCACATTTTGAAGAGACTCCTTACTAACGTGGCTACCAGAGAAGTGCCAGGTTAGAATTATGTCATAATTCTAGTTTTTTAAAAAAAAGGTAGCATGAACTTTGAATTCCTTTTCCAAATATATAAAGTTTAGAGTACCTGTTGGAATGCAAAATCTTACAGAGGGAATGATAGCATCAAAAGAACCCAACTCATCTGCTTTTGGACAATGAGCAATTTTAAAGAAGTGTTAAGTATGTCACATATGTATACATGGACACACATGTATACACACACACACACACACACACACAGGTTTGAAAACAAAGCATCATTTTCAAATCAGACCCCACCAGGAGAATGGTTTGTGTGGGAAACACACCATAAAATCAAACCCAAAATCTCTAGGTAACAAGAAAAAAACCTGGGGGGGGGGCTTGTGCGTTAAACAGCCCCAGGAGGGGTTAGCACTTCTGTGAGAGTGGCCTCTCCCTCTCTTGGCCCGAGCTTTCAGTTCTCCCCTGGGGTTCGTTAACTTTTCACTCTCTCTACCACATTTATCCTCCGAGGATTTGTAGGTCTTTGTTTCTTTAAGCTGAAGCATAGACACAAATTCTTTTCCTTCCTTCACTCAGCAAAATTTCGTAAAACAAACCCCCTCAAGCTAGGAGGAAAGCATGGGACGGGAGGGATGAGGGCAGGACGTCAGGGGGCCGTGCGTTCAGTATGCAGGCCTCTGATTTCAAGGCTGGTTGGTGAACCCTGACCCAGTTTGCCCTGACGCTTTTGGCAAGTTTGCAGAGCCCAACTCTGTTCCGACTCCTGTGCTCCTGGGCCCTGTAGTCTTCACTTCTTTGAAAAACATCACTTCTTTGCCTTCCTATTGGTCCACCGCATTGTCTTGCTCCATCAATAACAGAGCTAAGCTAAGTTATGTGGCTTTTAGAATCCCTGAGTCTATGGGACCTCGAGCCAAATGTCACTTAGCGCCTAGTCACTTACAGCTTCCCACGAGCACAAAGAAATGACCCAACCAAGGCTGGGAACTTTCAGTCTGTTGTCTATGCCTCCAGGGAATATGGTCTAGCTTGCCAATGGTGGGTGAGAACACTTTTAGAGGCTTGAGTGTTAACACCCTTCAACTCCTGTCTCTAAAGAGAGTATCTCTTTGAGCCATTAAAAAGTTTAGTAGTTTTCTTACTGAAATGATACACTGAAGTTAAAAGAAATGATTGTCAATATTAGAATGTAAAGTCACTTACCTTGCCTAGAAGAAAATGCTAATGGTTTTCCAAATAAGGTACCTGTGAGTTTTCGAACCAGCCACTTCAGCACCACCTAAAACCTTACTAGAAACACAGACTTTTCAGCTGAGTGTGGCAATGTAAACCTTTAACCTTGGCACTCAGCACTCAGGAGACTGGGGCAGGCAGATCTCTGTGAGTTTGAAGGCAGCCTGGTCTGCACAGTGATCTCCAAGCCATCCAGGTCTACATAGTGAGACTGATTCCAAAATGCAAAACAAACAAACAAGCAAAAAGGAAGGGAAGGAATTGGGATCCTCCATGGACTGCTAAATCAGAAATTTGAGGGTCACAACACCGTATTTTAAGAAACCCCCAAGATGATTCTGAGCCACCCTCTGAGCTACTGAGTTACACATTGCCTGTCTTTCTCTTTTCATTTACTTACTTATTTTAAGCACTGGAATTACAAGTGTGTGTCCACTATGCTCTCTCTCTCTCTCTCCTTTCTGTCTTCTCTCTCTCTCTCCTTTCTGTCTTCTCTCTCTCTCTCTCTCTGCCCCTTCTCCTCTTCCTTTCTTTCCTTAGCAACAGAGCACTGGTTTTATTCAAAGCAGCTGTGTGCCAGGCTGAAGCGTACCCTATTTTTAATCATTCTTGTAGACAGAATTAACTGATGATATGGACGGGGCAGTTCAGTGGCCCAGGCCTCTGAGAACTCTTGGGAAAGAGTCAGTTCCACTCCAGAAAAGTTTTTGTATTTTCCTCCTCTCCTCTGATTCCTTCCTTGACTAGAATGTTCATTGCCAACAACCTCATGAGGTGACCCTGAAGATCACTTTAGTCTAGTCTGTGCTGTTCAGTAGAGCCCAAGGCTGGGTAACTTGTAATGGATGCAGATTTGTTTCTTATAGTTCTGGAGGCTGAGAAGTCCACGATTGAACACCTTAGGTTGGTAAGGGCATTCTTTCCAGAAAGGCAATGCAGGGCAAGGCAGACACACACACACACACACACACACACACACACACACACACAGAGAGAGAGAGAGAGAGAGAGAGAGAGAGAGAGAGAGAGAGAGAGAGAGTTATCTTTTAGTTAGGAGCCCACTTCCTGAGATAAGGACATGAATTAACTCATGAGGGCTCTGCTCTCATGCCCTAATCACGCCAAAGATCCCATCTCAATGCCATTGCCTTGACAACTAGGTTGTCAACATGGACACTGAGGACACCTTAGGTCACAGCCATCAAGGGAATGATGAACTAAGGATAGAGAGTGTGAAGGAGACTTGGACTTTAGAACATCGCCCTGGACCTCTTTAGGATGCAGAAATTAAACGTCCTTCTTTAAGACATCATGAAGGTTTGTAGTCTAGACAGCTGAATCCAGTCTTGATGCCTTTTTACAAATACTGTGTGTTGAAAAACTATAAGCCGTTAAAAACCTATACCTGCAACAGAGGGCAAAGAGGGCACGTTGATGTCTATGGTGAGGCTCGTCCTGAAAAGGGGGCTGAAAGTGGAAAAAGAAAGAACCAAGAGAGTAGAGAAAGGCAGAGTCAGATGGGATCAAATGGCCATTCTGTAATGACCATCCCAAGTGAGTTCCCTACGGACTGATCATAAGCTACCTTCAAGAAAAAGAGGATTCTTTTTCATTGTCCTCTGGGCTTTGTACGTGTTACCTACCAATAAGAATGTCCTTCCAATAATAGATCACATGTATGCATAACTAATGGGGCACACATATTTTAAAAGATATTTATTTATGTATATGAGTGCTCTGTTGACCCAGAAGAGGGCATCAGATCTCATTATAGACCATTGTGAGACATCTTGTAGTTGCTTGGAATTGAACTTAAGGCCTCTGAAAGAGCAGCTCATGCGCTTAACTGCTGAGCCATCTCTCCAGCTCCAGGGGCCCACATTTTTATGTCTGGATTTTCCTGTATTCCTATGCTCAGTGTTGTGAGGAGTATAAATATGATGTGGTAAAACCTCTGCCTTGAGAAAACTCAAAACGTAAAGAAAACACACACTCAGTAAGATGAAAACCATTGTCTGGTGCAGTTGCTCAAAAACTTGGTCTCAGGAGTGAGGAACATCAATGTCTTGCCTTGTGGGATAAGGCCAATGTTGTATCATACTAAGGGTGGCATGGTGCCTCCAAGGTTTCCTGATGTCTATAGGTCGTTTTATGAAAGTGAGCAATAAGAATGGTGAGCTTTGAGTTCTGCGCATTGGACACCTGATTCATTTTGAGATCATGCCAGTTTCCTTCACTGAGGAAATAATCCAGGGACTACTTCATTCTGCCACTGTGAAGGCCCCTTGTGGCAGCTTCTGCACAGATCTCAGAAGCAGGCTTCCTTTGAGTGTCCCATGAGCGGAGAAGACCTTTTGGAACAGCCTGGAGTACTGGACCCCCTTCCCCCAGAGGCCACTCATCTATTCACTGGGTGTTTATTTACACTGGGTGTGATTCCAGGAACTATAGCCAATCAAGGTAAGAGTTAGTTCATTCGTCCTTTGGTGCTCACCATCACAGCGGGGGTTGAAAGAGGATAGAAAATAAAAAATAAGGTCAAGGAATAATTGAAAGCATAAGAGGTAAAGTGCTTACCTTGCAAACATGAAACCCCCTTGGATTTCCCAGAATTCAAATAAAAAGCTGGGCATGGTGGCAGGTGCTTGAAATTCCAGCATTAGGGAGATAGAGGTGGCAGGTCCTTTGAACACAAACGGCCAGCCAGCCTAGCTGAATCACCAGCTCCAGACTAGTAAGAGACCCTGTCTCAATAGAGGATGCGGGGCATGGAAGGAGCTGGAGGGAAGGGACTTGAGAGAGAGGAAAGGGAAGGAGAACAGTGATGCGATTATATTTCAATTAAAAGTGTACAGAAAATAGAAATTTAAAAAAACAAACCACGAACTGGATAGCAACTGAGGAGCAAACCCAGAGGTTGGTCTCTGTCCTCCACATGCATACAATCCCTGCTCCCCAGGCGTGGTGTGAGCCATGAGGGAGCAAAGGAAACTAGGGAGGAAGTCCTGCTCTTCTCCAGCTGTCAGGAAAGATGCTGACAAGCTGGGCAGCGGCTTCTTATGGGAAGGACTATGCTTAAGGACTGGGGAGGAGCTGCTGAGACTTAGGATGTGAATGGAAGACAACAGGGAGGGACACTAACAAGAGTGTGGCTTTTACCTCTGAGTGACTTTCACCTTGGAGGCCTGAAGGGTTAGCCACTGGCTTCTCCAGAAGAAGAGCTCTCACCTCTGTCCTTAAATTCTCTAGGGACCACAGACTGAGAGGGCTTCTCTTTCTCTCATTCTCTCTATTCCTGTCTAGGCTGCACTAATTAAGAGTTACTAAAATATCTTCAAGGGCGCACACCGAAAGAGAAAGAAACTTGGATATAGAAGAGGTTGTGGGCAAGAATAATTGGAAACAGGGGACACATGTCTTCCCCATCTTAGGGATGTCACGAAGCACAGCCCTTTGAAGGTAGGCAAAGCTGTAAATCTCACTCTCTTATTTTACTTTGCTAAAACTCAATTTGTAAGGTAAGCAATTAAAATGTTCAAATTAAAAAGCCAAAGTAAATCACAATTACGAGTCAGCTCTTAATTTATTTAGAGGGTATTTTTTCTTTCTCCCTCAGGAAAAAGAATTGTGTTTTATGTCATTTCCCCTGCAGCTTCAGCAATGAGACTGTCACAAATGGGAAGCTGGAGAGGTCTCACCAGACTACTGCTCCCTCAGTTAGAGTTCTGAAAAGAGCACATGTGAGACTATCCAACTGTTCCTATGGACCTTTGTTTACAGAAGCATTAATTACAGCTGTGAGACAAAGGAGATGCCATTAGGAAAAGGCATCTTCACTGGAACTTGGAAGGGAGGTGGCACTTTCTTTCCTAAACTCATCATCTCCAGCTGTGCACCAACCAGATGCACACATAGGAAGGAATCAAGCTTTCCCATTCCCTACCTGACTTCCCCCGTGGCCACCGCCCTTGGATGACTGGACTTATAAAGAGCATATGATCCAGTGGGACTCAGAACCCCTCACACCACCTAGCTCCACTAAGCTAAGGTCTGGCTACCACCTAGGCCATATCAAGATGACTTCAACTTAATTTCCAAATGACCTTTAATCAAGCCAGAGTCTCAAAAACCACTGCCTTCCTCTCCACCCTTCCAATTGAAATCATTTTAATTAAATTTCTTGCCGTCTTATTGTATGTGCTCTGAGAGTCAGATTTAACTGGATTCATAAAAACAATGTGACATTGAGTGACACTGTTTCATTAGGTTTGTTTGTCTGTTGGACCATGCTGAAGTGTGAGTCAAGGAAGGCCGTCTCCTTCGTTCTCCCCTTTCAGGCACAGGCTGTGTAGTTGACTTACTGCCCCAGCCTCGTCAGGGAGAACCCAAATGGGAGACAAAGTAAGGAAGGGAAGGGGAAGGTGGGGGAGAAGAGGAGGAAACGGAGAAAGAGAGAAGAGGACAACTAGGAGGAGGGTAGATAAAAAAGACTCCGAGACTACGGAGAAAGGAGGCGGGAGGAAGACTGGAGTGCGAGAACGAGGTTAGACTCAAAGGGAAGAGACAAGCACTTCCACCATCCGAATTGTACATGTAGGATGAGAATCTCACATGAAGATGGAGGTTTCTGTTCTGCCAGGTCCCGCTGCCCAAATAAATACACAGACCCTATATTAATTATAAAACTGTTGGCCTATGTCTGGGGTTTCTTACTGGCTAGCTCTCTCTTCATTATTAACCCATAACTACTAACCTATGTATTTCTACATGGCCTGATTTTACCAGAGAAAGCCTGGCATGTCCTGTCTTCCCTGTCTCTACATGGCGTCTCTTTGCAGCTTCTCTCTGCCTTCCTCCCCAGCATTCTCCTCATCTGGTAGCCCCGCCTATACTTCCTGCCTGGCCAAAGTGCAATCAGTGTTTTACTCATCAACCAATAAGAGAAGCATACATGCAGAAGGACATCCCCCATCGCTCACAGAGGACCACACACCTTCTAACTTTTCTGTTCAGAGTGTGGCATTGGGTCACACGCCAACTAAAGATAGTGGCGGTCTACTGTCAAGCCTCTCCATTGCTTCCCTGCAGTGCTGGCTCCCTTTTCGCTCAGCAGCTCTAGTGTGGGGTGTGGCGGGGGTGTGGCAGATGCATCACACTGTCAGTATCTATCTTGTAATTCTAAGGAGCATCGTAGTCAGCCTTCCCTGGGTCATCTTCATCTAGTAGCTCAACGTCCTTGTGGATAGTGAGCATGATGGCATGACTGGAATGGGAGTCAGTTGAGAATGGATGCTGAGGAGTGTTAGCAGTTGATGGTGGGGGAGGTGTGGCCACGATGAGGCTGTGGAGGGAAGCTATTTCTGGACAAAGAAAACAAGCTTTATTAGAGTGAGGGCAGTAACTGATGTCTATTCTGTGTTGCAGCTTGAATGTGAAACATCCCTCCCACAGCCTCACGTTTTCAACACTCGTTCCCAGCTGGTGGTGCTGTTTTGGGAGGCTGTGGCACCTTCAGAAGGTAGCGCTTACTTCATGGAAGTTAAGTCACTGGGGGAGCGTCTTGGAAGGGGAGAATCTTGGAAAGTTATAGCCCCGCTACTGGTTGCAGAGGCTCTCTCTGCCTCCTGCTCCACTGCTGGGTGAACAGTCATTTGCAAACTGTGGCACTCTGTCTTGTCCTCCCTGCTGTGATGGGCTGCAGCCTCCTGAAGCCTCCCGTAAATCGTTCCTGAAACACCAAAGTTAATGTGATATAAAAAAAGGAAAAATAACGTATGTCTCGCTTTATATAAAATTGCTTCCAAATGGATAAGGGACCGAAGTATAAACCTTGAAACTGTAGAACTTCTAAAAGAAAGGGTAGGAAAAAAAATCTATGTGACCTGTTACACAGAGTTCATAGTTGTGATGCCAAAAACAAGATCCGTAAGGGGAAAAGAGTGATTGGTAGGCGATCTTAATTCTCCTTCCTGTCCCCCATTCCAAGTTCCCTGGTCTCACTGCCAGCTCCTTTGCAGGCCACTTGCAGGGGCTTGCCTCTCCTCCCTGCCTCCATGGGGACCCCGAAGATCCTAAGGAACCAGCCCTCCTCCCTCACCCCATCCCTTTGTGTCAGCTGCCAGTACCCAGAGGCGCTCACTACCTGGGACCTAGCAGGTCACGCCAGCCTGGGAATCAGATCAGTGTCTTGCTGAGCCATCCCCAGAGAAGCTGCCTACTGCAGCAGAACTGGACAGCATGCAGAGAGAGTGAGCTCTTTGAACACTCAGTCCTAAATGGGATGCCTCCATCAGACCTCTCTCTTCAGCGGCTCAGAGAACTCTGTGGAGGAGAAGGCAGAAGGATTGTATGAGCCAATGCGGATGGAAGGCAATGAGGGAATACGACCTTCTAGGCACCCCAGAACTGATGTACGTATGAACTCAGAGCCCGAAGCAGTGTGCACAGGGCCTGCTGAGGTCTGAGGTAGATGGGGCCTCAGCACTGGGAGGGAAGTGGACACGAGCCCCCATCCCTAACCCAGAAGCTACCTCCCATTGAAACTGCTTGCAAAGGAAAAGTTAGTTTTCCTACAGAGTGTCGCTGGGCTCAAAAACCACACTTAAGGGAAGGCCCCATGACCAGCAGTGGATGCACAACACAAAATGAACTCAATGGCATCTGTGGAGGTTTTTTTTTTTTATCTCAAAATGCTTTGTCTGGGTATTTTTTTTAAATCCTGTCTTTAGCTATACAATTAATTTCTAATTATGCATTTTATGGGATTTCTGGGTATGCAAATATGTGTATCTTTGCATCTAGGGGTGTTTTTTCTTTGGCTCTTTTTGTTTTCTGTTTGCTTTATGCTACTTTGGTTTGTTTGCTTTTATTTTACTATATTTTCTAGATGCCTGTTTATTTTCTTGAGGGGGGGCAGTGTGAATTTGGGTGGGTGAGAGGTGGGGAAGATCTGGGAGGAGTTGGGAGAGGAGAAACTATAGTCAAAATATATTGTATGAAAAAAATTTATTTTCAGTAAAGAGATGAGAGAGAAAAATGATAAACTAGACCTTGTGAAAATAGAAAAAATAAGGTTTCTTCTGTGCAGATGACATTGCTAAGAGGAACAAAAAGACAAACCACAAATCTTTAGAAAGCATTTGAGGAGGACATATCTGGCAAGAGACTGGTGTTTATGGGATTCACAAAGTTCCCAAAACTAGATAATAAAATGACAACTTGATTAAAAAACGTGTAAAAGGTTGAAGCACCCCATCAAAAGATATCTTTGTATAGTAGATCAACATATAGGAAACATTCCTCACTAGAGAAAGGAAAGCTAAAACAAGAAGAAAACATTGTGATTCCTTTCTTGGAATGACAGAAAGAAAGAGAAAAAAGAGGAGGGAGAAAGGTAGAAGAAAGGAAGATAGGGAGGAAGGAAAGAAGGAGGGAAGAAGGAAGGAAGGAGGTAGGGAAAAAGGAGGGAAGGGAGGAAGAGAAAGACGATAAAATCCGTAATCTGAGTAATCAGCCGTGATCTGCTCCGCAGATTTTCCTCCGTGTGGTGTGAAAGAACCGGACTTTCTTGGTTGGACTTGGTCTAGAGATTCTCCCAATGGAGGCGGTTGGAGGTGGTACACTGCTGGAGAGCTTCGATCTCCGCTGTGAGAAGAGCATGCTCCCAGCGCCTTCTGTTCCTTCGCTATGGGTCCGAGAACAGATTCATAGAGCCGACCTTGAAGTCCAGCCTGGCCCAGTTCGTCCCAGAAAAGACCTGCTGAGCGGCAACTCCATGGATGACCTCGAATTAAGGACTAGTTGTGCTAAGCTGCTGAAAATGTGGGGTGTTTCTCACGCAGATCATTGCGTAAGAGGGATAATTCAAAAAGAGAATTGAGAGGATTAGCAAGGCGGTAAAGAGTCGGGAAGGAATTCGCAAGGCAAGAGGAACAGCGTGCTTTTGCTTTGAGTTGTTGGATTAACCAACGAACCTTTCCTTCCTTTCTGTTGCGCTGTCAGATACTTGGGAGTTGAAATGGTCTGTGTATTTTAATCATCACTGTGTCTTTGAGACCTGGCACAATATTTGACACGCTGTAGACGAGCAGTGAGTGTGGGGATAAATAAGGATACGTGAGGTGCTGGCTGGCTCCGGTAGGAGGACATTGTCAAAAGCAAAAATGGTCAATCCCTGGCGGGGCGGTGGTGGCGCACGCCTTTAATCCCAGCATTCGGGAGGCAGAGGCAGGCGGATCTCTGTGAGTTCGAGGCTGGGCTGGACCGACAGCCTCCAAAACAATACAGAGAAACCCTGTCTCGTAAAACCAAAAAAAAAAAAAAAAAAAAAAAAAAAAAAAGGTCAATCCCGACCCAGGTGAGAAAACTACCTTAGAGACAAGGAGCAACCGATCGGTCCATGGTGGTGGTTAAAGGATGAGGGCTGTGTATTTTATAGGGAGGAACGTAGGACACGATTCCCAAAGGCTGTTACAGCACATTTTGTGGCAGAGGATCAGAGGGGAGGACGATTAAGAGGACTTAAAGGCCAAAGGCAGACAAACAGGAGGAGAGAGAGGGTTCCACAGGAGGGGGCTCCAGAGAGAGGCCAAAGAGTGTAAAGTTGGAGGAAACAAACCTACTCCTTCTCTTGAAGGGAAGTTGATGGGAAGCATAGCGAGAGATGCCTTCTACTATGTGTGAAATCAAATGGAAAGTGCAAAGAGCTATTTGAAATGAAATACAGAAATTAATGAAGTGTAGGCACAGGTCGCTGTTAATTTAAGACACAGATGTAACTGAGGCAAACTAGCTTCTTAACGTCGTTGCCAAGAAACTGTATGAAACTAGAATGAGCAAAAATCATTTTAAAAATAGAAAAAAGCCTTGACAATGTCACCTTCCTAAAATGCTCCCCCCATATTTTCCTTTTGAAACAAAGAAAGCAGATACAGGGCAGTCTAGAAGTGAAAAAGATATATTTCCTCCTAAGCCAAGTATTTTTGAGAGAAGAGGTTGCTTAGACTCACTTAAACATGACATCGATTCACACCTCTGACAACCTTGATAAACACTAGCAGGCTACCCAGAACCCCCAACACCAGCTAGAACTTAGATAGTGAGTTGATATGCAGACGTAAGAGTTGTTAGTGAGAAAGAACTTTGGGCTCTACTTTGGATAAGGACAGTTTACTTGGCCAAATGAAGTAATTAACCAGAGAGCGATTACAGAGTGCAGGGGACTCATTTCTTTGGTGGCGCATAAGGAGACAAGGCTCGCTAGGTTTTGCGATAGACGCTAGAGAAACGTTTGCAAGAAACTGATATGAACTGTCTTGGTGAGCGGCTGACCTGAGATATACAACAAGAAGACTCTGGGAAAGACTGTTGAAATAACAGTGAAAAAAATCTGTAGGGTAATAAATACTGCCGGCAGTTAGAAACAGTGATAGTTTAAAGTTCAATTATAATGCAATTATTAGTAACTTAATAGAAATCGGGAAGGAAACAAAACAGTCGTTCTTTAGAAAGGATGGACCCAAGGGGCCCAGAGAGTAATAGAAAATGCCATTTGTTTTTTTGCTTCTTATCATTATAAATGATGGACTATCAAAGCAACAGCAAGCCCATTAATCAAGACTGTAAACAATTAAAATCTTTTTGCAGATCCGGGAAAGCATCAGAATTATCAGGACAGTGCCAGAAAGAGGGACATAAATTTCAGCCAGCCCTTTGGATCTGGGAAGTGTTTAGGCTACTCAGCCAAAAAGTCAGAGAGCAAAAAGTCTAAACTAAGCTGATAACGACTGATCATTAATTAGAACTGAAGCCAACTATCTCAGTCTAGAGAAATATCTTGGCTACTCAGCTAAGAGCCAGAAAGCCAAAGGTCCACGTTGGGTTCATGATAATTAATCATAAGCAAAGCCACTACCCAGAAAATCCCCTGTTAGTGAAGGGCGCCTTTGAGATGAAGCAGCCCCCATAACAGCTGGAGGGACACTTCTGGGCAAAGCGAATAGAAGATGGGGGGGTCATTTCAGCTTTGTTTAGATGTCCAAGCCTATATGGATGAATTCCCTGGAATTAATCACATACAAGTTCTGAAATTAGAAGACAGACTGAGCATCTAGTGTCTTGAGTCTAATGCAAGGATTTCTTTTTCTTTTTTTAAATGAGAATACAGTTATTGAATGGCATTTGAACAGAAGGCAGAGGTTGAGGGAGGGAAAGTGAGGGGACTGTAATGCGGAGCATTTAAATAAAACGTGCCTAGAGGGGAATGAGATTCGGACCGCCTCCGAAGTCATTCATCAGGTGGGATATGAAAAGTGACAGTGAGTGACTATGGGAAGTGACTCCATATGGGTAATTTAGAGAATTCAAAAACTGGATGGGATTTATAAGCTCATGCATACTGATATTCAAATTCAATTCTGCATCTGTAAGGAAACATTTTCCCAATCTAATCAGAGAAGGCATTAAACGCCTTTTTATGCACACATCCATTTTCCTTACAACAATGCCATATTTCATGAATTCTAGACTGTATACTATTTTCACATTTTTATATTTTTGAAGTCTGAATATATCATGGTACAATTAGAAGTTGATTCCTTCCTTCCCTTCCTCTCCCTGCCCCCTCCTTCCCCTTTTGA